GTCCTCCAGAAATATAAAACTGTGCAGTGAAAACTATTGTAGGGTGGGCGAGGCAGGAGGGATACGTTTTGCATCTAATGCATGCACAAATAAGAATCTAGAGTCTAAAGTTAAAATATTGATGTAGACAGTTGAATAAAAAAGGTAAAGGTACCCCTGCCCGTACGGGCCAGTCTTGACAGACTCTGGGGTTGTGCGCCCATCTCACTCAAGAGGCCGGGGGCCAGCGCTGTCCAGAGACACTTCCGGGTCACATGGCCAGCGTGACATCACTGCTCTGGCGAGCCAGAGCCGCACACGGAAACGCCGTTTACCTTCCCGCTAGTAAGCGGTCCCTATTTATCTACTTGCACCCGGAGGTGCTTTCGAACTGCTAGGTTGGCAGGCGCTGGGACCGAGCAGCGGGAGCGCACCCCGCCCCGGGGATTCGAACCGCCGACCTTTCGATCGGCAAGCCCTAGGCGCTGAGGCTTTTACCCACAGTGCCACCCGCGTCCAGACAGTTGAATACCTACATTTTATTTCAGTCAGTGACTTGGCTAGTCAAGACAGTGGAATCTTTACCGGGGCAACAGTCATAAATCAATAATTGTTATCAGTGGTGTGCGGTGAAATTTTTCGTAGGGAAACAGTTAGGACCAGAGACAACAATTTGCGAGGGTGATTGGGGAGAGGTGTCACAACTTCCTGACATCGTGAGCATGAACATTGCATCTCCCTAAGCTGGGCAGAAGCTTCCTGGGCTTTGGGAAGGGGGCACCAAGGGAACATTTAGGGGACTAGACTAGCCCCCTAGTCAAATGAGCTCATGCTGCTGATTTTTATCCACTGTATGTTCTCCATGCCATTAGTAAAAGGCATCCTCACTGCTGCATCTTCACTGGCAGAAAGACTGGAGAAGGCTTCTCTGGAAGTACAGAGGTATTAGCAGGATTGCAGGAACCAGGGCTGGCCAAGACACTACACCACTTCAAATGGGTCTTCCAGAGCCAAAAAGCTCCCTTCTTCTTCTTCTTCTTCTTCTTCTTCTTCTTCTTCTTCTTCTTCTTCTTCTTCTTCTTCTTCTTCTTCTTCCATCACTCATAGCTGAGTAATATTGTCTTCCATGAACACGGTTTTAACAATGAGTCCATAAGTGATCGTGGGCGCCAATTCTGGATCCCCACATCCTCCCACAGTGGGGACATAGGTCTAAACCACAGAGCCTAGGGCTTGCTGATCAGAAGGTTGTTGGCTTGAATCCCCGTGATGGGGTGAGCTCCCGTTGTTTGGTCCCAGCTCCTGCCCACCTAGCAGATTGAAAGCACGTCAGAGTGCAAGTAGATAAATAGATATAGTAGATAAATAGAATAGACCACAGCGCCACTCGTGTTTCACTACATGATGGCAAATCTGCCCATTTTGCTTTCTCCCTCTTTCTCATTTTTCCAGTCTTAAAAGTTCACTTTTTCACATTTCCACATCAGTTTGTGATTGTTTTTTTTAAGTCCTCATGAAAACTCACCAACATTTTAGTGTGAATTTTTCCTAATATAGACGTTTGTATGCACGCAGTGGTACCTTCCCTGTGGAACGCCCTCCCTTCAGATGTCAAGGAGATAAAGAACTACACAACTTTTAGAAGACATCTGAAGGCAACCCCGTATGGGGAAGTTTTTAATGTTTGATGTTTTACTATGTTTTTTTATATGCTGTAAGCTGTCCAGAGTAGCTGGGGAAACCCAGCCAGATGGGCAGGGTATAAATAATAATTATTATTTCATTGCAAAGTCATTTCTCCTCATACTATTTTCACTCACATTTTTTTTCACTCATACGCATTTTCTGTGCATCTTCTGCCTCACTATATGCATTTTTATACAATTACTTAGCTGGAGAACTGCACTGAAAAATTCAGAGAAGTGCGAATTTTTAAGGATGCCTGTGTTTCATTTTGCATCTTGTTTTGGACACTGCAAATCAAGTAAGTTCACCTTTGAATCCAAACCAAATTCAATTTCTCCCCCTATTCTTAGGTTTCACCTGTCATACCAGCAACAGCAAGAGATACGTTCTGTGCTTATGATAATATTTTATATTCTTCCAAATTATGCTGTTTTAAATGTGCACTTTTAATATTTGCCTTCCTTTAGCAATGTTTTCTTTTGAAATGTTTGGGATATTATTATTATTTTGTTAACTTTGCTGTGTTAAATGTGCATTCCTGTAGTTGACCTCCTTTGTAATGTTCTACACTGAAATCTTGAAGATAACATTTTACTTTCCTGTTAACCATACGACTTTGAATGTACTGTATACTTTCTATTTGACTTTCTTCTGTAATGTTTTCTTCTGGGTTGTTTTATTTGATGCTTTAAAATAAGTTGTCAACCACAGTGGAATATTTTTCTTAAAAATATAAGACAGCATAAAAATTAAATAAATAAATAGGCCATAGATTTTTAAAATTAGTCAAAGGTTTGGGAGAAGAGGAATGTTGCCCTTTCTCTCAGGAAACAGATACAGTCATACCTTGGGTTACAGCCGCTTCAGGTTGCGTTTTTTTTGGGTTGCGGACTGACGAAACCTGGAAGTAGCGGAACGGGTTACTTCTGGGTTACGGCAGTCGCGCATACGCAGAAGCACTAAATCACGCTTTGCGCATGCGCAGAAGCACCAAATCGCAACCTGCGCATGCGCAGACACGGGTTGCAAATGCTGCGGGTTGCGAACGTGCATCCTGCACAGATCACGTTCGCAACCTGAGCATCCACTGTATACCTAAATTCCTAGAATAAGCTGCAACACTGACTTCGGAGGGGGGGGGGGTAGATAAATCTCCCATCTGGATGATCCCTGAGACCCCGGAGGGGAGAGACTTCCTGCTGTCCATCAGGCAAGACCTTTCTCCACCTGCCTTTCCCAGACTATGACTTTAAGAACACCAGAAGCAGCTGGGAGGAGAGGAGTTCAGGGATATTTTTAAAACATAATTCTATAAATTGTGCGCCTCTGCGTCTTAATTTGCATTGTCTTTTTTATGAACTGCGACTTGCTGTTGTTCTTATTGATTATAGTTTAGAAATTATTTTTTTTTTAAGAGTGGATTTCTGTTTAGTTTCTGTTTGCTGATATTTAATATCATTCTGTAGTATTCTAAGGGATGATTGAATATTACTTGATTTGATATCAGTTGCTTATTTTAAAGTTACGTTTTTATTATCACTTTTTTTATTGGATTAGATTGTTATAAGGTGCGAATTCTTTGCTATTTCTTCAGCTTGTAAACTGCCTTGGGTATAGTAAAATAGAAAGGCGGTGTACAAATGAAAAGTGAAATGAAATCTCTTCTCTCCTATGTCTTTATCCCACACCATATGCTGTTTGTGTTGTGTTTTCCCCTTCTGAACCCAAAGGTCACCAGCTTCAGCTTTTGTCCTGAGACAGTGCTGCATTGCAGCAAGCTGTTCAGCATTCTTACCTGTTAAGGATGCTGTCCTTCAAAGGAGATGTCAATCTGAGCTTTCTGTTCCTTACCCTTATTACTCAGATCACTATTTGGATATAGATAGATGATAGATAGATAGATAGATAGATAGATAGATAGATAGATAGATAATTTATTATGGTCGGAGACCAGCTTATAAAACACACTTGGGGGCACAATCCCAGAAGGAAAGCAAACATTCAAAACAATGTACAACAATAAATTTAAAATTTATAAATGCGATAAGTGTATAGACACTTAAAACTTTAAGATAAGCTACCACAGAGAGACGCGGGTGGCGCTGTGGGTAAAAGCCTCAGCGCCTAGGGCTTGCCGATCAAAAGGTCGGCGGTTCGAATCCCCGCGGCGGGGTGCGCTCCCGTTGCTCGGTCCCAGCGCCTGCCAACCTAGCAGTTCGAAAGCACCCCTGGGTGCAAGTAGATAAATAGGGACCGCTTACCGGCGGGAAGGTAAACGGCGTTTCCGTGTGCTGCGCTGGCTCGCCAGATGCAGCTTTGTCACGCTCCCCTGGCCACGTGACCCGGAAGTGTCTTCGGACAGCGCTGGCCCCCGGCCTCTTAAGTGAGATGGGCGCACAACCCTGGAGTCTGTCAAGACTGGCCCGTACGGGCAGGGGTATCTTTACCTTTACCTACCACAGAGAGATGACCCAGAGTCACCCATGGAACCGAGTTTGGGGATTTTCTTAATGAACTAGTTTGGGCTGGGGGATGGTCTGCGCCTACAAATCTCTACGCAGAATCTGGCGATCATCCGGGTTGTCTTATGATCTTTGCCTAACAGGAAAATGTCAATTTTTTGCTTTTCTGGGAGGTCAACGGGCCTCACCAGCAAGGGATCGATGGTCTCACTACGTGCCTCTTCATAGAGATAGATAGATAGATAGATGATAGATAGATGATAGATAGATGATAGATAGATAGATAGATAGATGAGAGATCTGGGCACGATCCTTTAAACATCACAGTTCTTGTTGTTGTTTAGTCATTTAGTCGTGTCCGACTCTTCGTGACCCCCTGGACCAGAGCACGCCAGGCACTTCTGTCTTCCACTGCCTCCCACAGTTTGGTCAAACTCCTGCTGGTAGCTTCGAGAACACTGTCCCACCATCTCGTCCTCTGTCATCCCCTTCTCCTTGTGCCCTCCATCTGTCCCAACATCAGGGTGTTTTCCAGGGAGTCTTCTCTTCTCATGAGGTGGCCAAAATATTGGAGCCTCAGCTTCAGGATCTGTCCTTCCAGTGAGCACTCAGGGCTGATTTCCTTCAGAATGAAGAGGTTTGATCTTCTTGCAGTCCAGGGGACTCTCAAGAGTCTCCTCCAGCACCAGAATTCAAAAGCATCAATTCTTCAGCCCCTTCATGGACCACTGCCTTTCCGTGGCGAAGGGGCTTGAATAACTCAGAGAAGCTATGAGCTATGCCATGCAGAGCCACCCAAGATGGACAGGTCATAGTGGAGAGTTTAGACCAAACATGATCCACCTGGAGCAGGAACCGGCAAGCCACTCCAGTATCCCAGCCAAGAAAACTCCATGGACAAAGACAGCAACTTCTTATGGAGGTCTATTGTGATAGCAGAACCTCCATGCCCAGGGACAGTCTACCTCTGAATACCAGGCCTTGCGAAGAACTGGAGAGTTGCTGCTTGTGGGCCTCCCTTTGGGGGCCCGGTCGGCCACTGTGAGAGCAGGATACTGGCCTGGAGGGGGCTGATCCAGCAGGCTCTGTTCTTATGTCATCACTTCTAGATTTATGATTTTTAAAAAGCAGGGAAATGACTGCAGTGAAAGGTCCCAGCGGCAAGGAGCTTACAGTCCCAAGTTTGAAACTGTCCTAAGGAGAAGGGCAAGGGGGTATGTGTGTGGCATGGACATCTGCGCTGCCCACTTTTCAGAAAATAAAATCTGTGCTTCCAGGTGGGAATATTGGACAGCTCTGCAGTCAAACCTCGAGTCCCGACGATGAATATCCTTGCCCCCGTCAGGCGGGACCGCGTCATTGCCGAACTGCCGCCGGTAAGGGGTCCAGGAGTCCTTGGAGGCAGGGGGCGGCGGGCAGAGCTCAGCAGCAACACTTATGGTGTCAGAATCTCACTTTTTAGCATCAGGATTGTTTTGTACCTGTGGCTCCGCCCCTTTTCCTCTGGCCCCGCCCACCACTGATCTTCGGCCCTCGGAAGGTTGCCAAGGAGACGGTGTGGCCCTTGATCTGAGAACGGTTCCCAAGTCCTGCTGGCATGCACATTTCTCGCCCCTCTTTCTGCAAGCAAAAGAGAACGGAGGCCAGGGATGGCTCAGCCATGGAGCCAAATTGGGGGTGCTGGAATATTGGGGTTCTTGCACCAGATTGGAGATTTTTGGTGGGGGCTGTATGTGTGTGCCTGGACAGAGAGCGGAGTGTGTGACCTGTATTTGGAGAGAAGGCCTTTTAAAGAATCATAGAGCTGTAGGGTTGGAAGGGACCCCACAGGGTCATCTAGTCCAACCCCAGTCCCCGTCCTCATGCAATATTCCCCGGATGTCCTGGGGGAAACGATCTGGAGCCTTTTTCAACTGGCCCACCAGCTCAAATCAGGGGGAGGACAATAACGAAAAAAAATCAGTCTCCTGGCCTGGGTTGGACTAGATGACCGTAGGGTTCCCTTTGAGCTCTGGTAGGGAGAAGACGGTGGAGGGAACACCCTTTTAATTCCTCAAGAGCAGGGGTCCGCAAACTTTTTAAGCAGGGGGCCGATCCACTGTCGCTCAGACTATGTGGGGGGCCGGACTATATTTTGAAAAAGAAAATGAACGAATTCCTATGCCCCACAAATAACCCAGAGATGCATTTTAAATAAAAGCACACATTCTACTCATGTAAAAACACACTGATTCCCGGACCATCCGGGGGCCAGATTGAGAATTCAATTGGGCCGGATCAGGCCCCTGGGTCTTAGTTTGCCTACCCATGCTCTTGAGCAGGCATAGGCAACCTTCGGCCCTCCAGCTGTTTTGGGACTACAACTCCCATCACCCCTAGCTAACAGGACCAGTGGTCAGGGATGATGGGAATTGTAGTCCAAAACATCTGGAGGGCCGAAGGTTGCCTATGCCTACTCAAGAGCATCAAAAACCTAGAGGGGTGTGTGGGTGTGTGTGGCTGCACAGGTGGCCTGGGAACTCAGCGGTTAGGGAAACTTTTCTTTAAAATGCACACAAACTTATTTGTTTCTTGTGGGTTTGTGCGTGTGGTGCTGGCGGGAGTCTTTGCATTGGAAGAGCTGTTTGGGGCGCTGCAAGGAGCATACAAAGTGGGGGGTGGCAGTGCCGTAACTCCCCCCATTCCTCATTTTCCTTCCCAGTGCTTCACCAAAGGGGCCGCGCTCCATTCCAGGAGCTCCTTTCACCCCAAAGTGGTTGGGATGTGCCAGTCCCAGAGGACGGGGACCGTGGGGTGAGTATTTAACGCCAGAACATGAGAACACTGAACAAAGCTGAAGGTCGGAAGATTGGGGGTGGATAAAAGGAAGTCCTCCTTCACGCCGTGTGGAGTTAAACTGTGGAAGTCCCTGCCACTTGGATGGCTTCACAGAGGTTTGGACAAATTCCTGGAGGAGGTGAGGGCTATCGAGGGCTCCTTGCCAGGATGAGTTTGCTCTGCCTCCACATTCGGAAGCAGTCAATGCTTCTGAATACTAGTTGCTGAAAAAGAGGGGGGTCTTGTGTTCGAATCCTGATGCTGGGTTTCCCTTTGGGGCATCTGGTTGGCCGCTGTGAGAGCAGGAGGCTGAACTAGACGGACCACTGGGCCTGATCCAGCAGCCAGGTCCTTATTATGTTCTTATTTACGGAGACCCTTGTCTCCACCGTTAAAGACCATCGCCCATGACCTTCTAGAGGCCGGATCCACAGATCAGTTAGGGGCACAGAAGTCTATTCCTTTTATCTCTCCTGAATCTCCTGCACAGAATCCTGGAAGGAGGGACTGAAAGGCCCATCTAGTCCAACCCTCAGAATGCAAACATCACAGCTGATTTCTCAGCATTTCCCTGCAAATTCCTCCTTCTGTACACATGTAGTTTTGTCTAACATGAATATTTTTGCACAGCGGTATCCCCGAATAGAATGCAGCCTTGTATGTTATTTTTCCCTGATGCCTGCATTCCTGCTTGGCAGGGGGTTGGACTCGATGGCCCTTGTGGTCTCTTCCAACTCTATGATTCTATGATTCTATATGCACCTTTTGCATCCTTGCACACTTCACTTGTCTGGAGAACTGCACTGCAAAATCCATGGAAAATGTGAATTTCTAAGGACAGTTGTGTTTTGCTTCACGTATTGTTTCAGAAACTGCAAGTCAGTTTGTCTTTAAATGTGCAAGTCTCTTTCGCTATAGCATGACGAGAGAAGGAGAAAGACTTCTCTATCCGATTTTTGCCACCCCAGGGGTAATTTTACCCATCTCTATCATACTCCACCCCTTTTATCTCCCATCAGTCACCCTTTATCTTAGCTTAGATAAAAGCCCCCTGGCATTATGAACAGTTCCTATTAGGGGAGTCTCTCCAGGCCCCCAATAATTCCAGCTACCTTTTCCCTAGACATTAACTCAGCCTTTCCCCCTTCTCAACAGGTTTAAAATTTCCAAGATCATCGTAGTCGGTGACCTCTCTGTGGGGAAGACCTGCTTGATCAACCGGTAACTATGGGGGAATACCCGGGCGGATCGGGGCCCAGGTCTTGGAGAATCCTGGGAATTGCTCAGGGTGCAGGGAACTGTAGCTCATGGAGTTCAGCACCCTGAATGAACGGCAATCCCCAGGGGGCCCCACGGCTGTTTAGAGTGCTTTAAATGTAAAGTGTGGATTTGACCCCCAAGTCCTTTTATGGCAGGATGACGAACCTGTGACTTTTGGCTGTCGGTACTCCCCACACGCCAACTGTCCTTGGGTGTTTTTGCCTGGCTGCAAATGTCTCTCTGAACTGTGCAAAGCGATGCCTGCTAGAGGGTTGCTGTTTTTCATGGGGGGGGGACAGAGGATCACCCCCTCAATTTGCCAATGGACCTTTAAAGCCCTTTGTGGCTTAGGGCCCTTGTATCTACAGGACCGCCTCTCCTGGTCTGCCCACAGAGGACCTTAAGGTCCATGAATAACCATAGTTTAGAGGTCCCAGGCCCTAAGGAAGTCAGACTATCCTCCACCAGGGCCAGGGCCTTCTCAGTGATGGCTCTGACCTGGTGGAATGCTCTGTCCCATGAGACCAGGGACCTGCAGGATTTAACCTCCTTCTGCAGGGCCTGTAAGACAGAGCTATTCTGCCTGGCCTTTAATTTGAATTCAGCCTGATCTTTTATTTCCCTTCTCTTCCCTCCCCCTCCCCTTTTATGAAGATCACCCGCTCTGAGACCCCACAGCTAATTCTCCCCTGGCCTCCTCACTGGCCCAAGTAGGACCAATTCAGCCAGCTAGCCCTGGGGATTATCTAAGGCTTATTTCCCCTAAATTGATTTTTGAATTTTATTGTTATTCATGTTTTTATACTGTATTTTATGCTGCTTTTATAATTGTTTTAAATTTGTTGTTAGCTGCCCTGAACCCGGTTTTTGAACCGGGAAGGGCGGGGTATAAATAAAAAATTATTATTATTATTAATCTTGAGCAGGAAGAGGCTGATGCAGAAGCCAACCCTCTCCTCCCTGACACCTCTCTCTCTCTCTCTCTCTCTTTCCTTATCCTCAGCTTTTGCAAAGACACTTTCGACAAGAACTACAAAGCCACCATTGGGGTGGACTTTGAGATGGAGCGGTTTGAGGTGCTGGGAGTGCCCTTCAGCCTGCAGCTGTGAGTACCTGCAGCCCATCCACCCAACCTGTCCGTCCTTCGGGGGGACCCCTCCCTTGGCCCCCTTCCTCAGTCATCCCCGCTAGGCAGATAAGCGCTGCTCTGGAGCTCTGCGGCACCTGCAGCCTAATGCCTTCCTTGCCTCCCTGCCAGGTGGGACACGGCTGGCCAGGAACGCTTCAAATGCATTGCCTCCACCTACTACCGTGGAGCTCAAGGTGAGACAATGCGATTATCAGGGGTTGGAGGGTCTGTCTGTCTGTCTGTCTGTGTCTCTCTTTGCAGCAGATAGCTCCCTGGAACACAGCTAGCAGGTGGGCAAGCAACCTTGAGGACTAGCTCCTTATGGGGGCTGTTAGGATATAGTTCTGTTCCACCTTAAAAGGTCTATGACTGTTGTGTGTCACATGCCTGTTTACATTTCCAGCACAGACTGCAGGGAACTTCGTTTGTATATTGCTTTTGCTATTACTGTTTTGTTGGACACGAAGGGAAGCAGACATGTTTTTCCTTTGTTCCTGAACTATGCTGAATAAACACCTGTAAATAATGCTTACACACGTCTCTGTCTGCCACTTCCGTTGTGAGGATTTGAAAGGGAAAAACTGGGTTCCTCTTGGCGTTCTGCGTGGGTGGTGAAAAACTGCAGAAAGGAACCCTCTTTTGTGACCTCTGGGGTCCCACCCATGTGGGAAGTCGGTGTGTGCCAATGAATATTTCTTGTTACTTGGTTGTGCTTGGGCAGGGGCGAACGAAACGAATACGTTGTGACACCCGGGGCAGGGCATCGCTATGTAGGGCGCACGTGCGGTGTTGCTACGTATGACGCATGCACCGTACATAGCGATGCCGCATATGTGCTGTACATAGCGGTTTGCCGGCGGCGCTGCTCCAGCGCTGTACAGATGGTGCTGGGATCTTCTGCTCAAGTGGCGCCAGTGGCAAACCACTATGTGCAGCGCATGTGCAGCGTCATTATCTACAGCGCATGTATTCGACGTCGCACATGCGCTGTACATAGTGGCTTGGTGGCGGCAGCAGGATCCTCTGCTCGCGGCTGCAAAGAAACAGTTTCTATCCAAATGCAATTTTGGTTTTAAATGCAGTGTAAGGTAATCTCTATGGAAGTATATTGTATTTAATTATGGGGTGTCAGAGTTTTAAGGGGGCTAACCAGGCTGGGATAGCTGGGATAGCAGGCTTGTTGGTTTTTGAATGTCTGATGTAGATTTTTTCGATTTCGTTGTTCCGTATGGGACAATGACAATAAAGATTATCGTATCGTAGATTATCGTATTGTATCCTCCACATGTGGCTGTGGCAGAGCGATGGCTGCTCACGCCGCCGCGAGCCCCCACGGAGTGCCTTCTTATCACCCCCCCCCAACATGGCATGTGGGGCGCACCGCTCCCCCATTGTGACGCCACTATGCTTGGGGGCTTACCTTTGGGGCATGTGGCTGAAAGTCCCCCATCCAGCATTTCCCAGAATTTACCATCTCAAGAACATCTAAGCCCTCCCTTTCCTCCAGACGTTCAACTGTCTAATTTTCTGGGGGGGGGGAGGGGACTTAGAAAGCGGTCCCCTTTTCTCCTCCGTGACCTCAACTCTGCAACTCTCTCCACCTCTCCGCAGCCATCATCATAGTCTTTGACCTGAACGACGTGGCATCCCTGGGCCACACCAGGTGAGTTACCTGTCGAGTTCGCCGTCCCCAGCTGGCGTCAAAGCTGTGCTGTCAACAGGGTGTGTGTGTATGGCTGTGAGTTGTGCTGGATCGAGCCCCTGACTCAACATTGATTCCAGAACCAAATTGCACCCGTGTGACCCTACTGCGATTCCTGCATTGCGGGGGGCTCCCTCACACCTCTGTGTGCAACGTCAAGAGATTAAAACAACCCCCTTCATTTTGGTACCTTTGACGCTTTGTGGGGAGGCCAGGGCCCCTCTCGGCCTCTATCCTCCCTCGCAAGGTTGTTGTGAGGATAAAACAGGGAGGAGCAGAACTCTGCACGCCCCCTGGAGCTCCTTGGATATCAACGTGATAGAAAGATACTACACTTGATCTTAGCCAAAAGGCCGAGAAGCGAGAGTGAGAGCTCGTAGATTTTCTTTTACTGGGGAATGATCAGGAGCTCACCAAGTTAGTGGCTAAATATCTCTATTTGGTTTTTTGTTGTCAAAATACACTGCAGACGTCTGATCTCCCTGGAGACCAAGAGATGTGACGATAGACTGCTCTGCCTCCTTTCTTTTAGCAAATGTTTTGTGCCACTGGGGAAGTGGTAATTCTGTATTGATTTGTTTTGGATGTTGTATGTGATGCCAATAAAAGGTTTGATGATGATGATGATAGATAGATAGATAAGGAAATAAATAATAGTAGCAGTGATAAATTCCACTCCTGGATTTCTCTCTCTGCCCAATCTGTTCCAGGCAGTGGCTGGCTGATGCCCTGAAGGAGAATGACCCTTCTAGCGCCATTCTCTTCCTCGTCGGCACCAAGAAGGATCTCAGCGTAAGTTGGGGAGAAAAAGAGAGAGGGAGACAGAGGGTGGGCTGTATCCTGCCTGCCCCACCTCCCTGCAGGACCTTCTGCCTTGTTCAGAAGGCATCTCCTGCGAACTCTGTTCAGGGCTCATTCATTGAAGCAAAGCCCTCCCTCCTCCAACCAGGATCGTTTGCATGGCACGGGGTTGGGCTGGATGACCCCTGGAGGCCCCTTCCACAATTCCACAATGCCCTGGGGGATGAGGCTACTGATTCATGGAGGTTCGTCATGAGGGCTTACAGGGAACAGGCAGAGCCAAAACTCCTTCTACCTGCCCCCCGACTTGCCACTCCCCCGCTTTGCTTCCAGGGTGATCCTGGCAACTTGATCGAAACCTGGATCCCGTTGGATCAGCCCAGTTCAGGATCCAGCCAAATCCAGCCCGGTTATTTATCATTAAGGGGGCAAGGAAAGAGGACACTTCCACAAACCTTATACTCTCTCAGCCACAGCGCCGTCTTTGTGATTGGTGCTTCGCAAGGGGGTAGCTCTCTGCCCCAAGCAGCTTCCAATCTGAAACTCACCCTGGAGGGAAGCGGAGGCAGGGAAGAAGTGCTTCTAGCTGGGTTCCTGGAGCTCCTGCCGCTGTCCTTCCTTCCTCCTGAGCCCTTCCCTTCCCTCTCACAGTCTCCGGCGCAGTACAGCCTCATCGAGAGGGAAGCTCTCAAGGTGGCCAAGGAAATGGAGGCTGAATATTGGGCTGTCTCCTCGCTCACAGGTAAGTTTCTCTTTTGCACAGCTACTCTGTTCTCGGATGAAATGCTTCCGAGTACCTGTGGCTGGAGGCTGCAGGAGGGGAGAGTTGCCCTTGTGCTCGAATAAAACATAATAAAACATAATAAACCTCCTCCTTCGTGTGCCTCCTCCTCAAGCGGTTCGGAGGGTGGCAACACAAGAACGGGGCCTTCTTTGCACTGGCTCCCCGACTGTGGAATGCTCTCCCCAGGGAAGTTCGCCTGGCACCTTCATTATATAGTCATACCTCAGATTACAGACGCTTCAGGTTCCAATTTTTTGGGGTGTGGACCGCTGAAACCCGAAAGTACCAGAATGGGTTACTTCCAGGTTTCGGCGGTCGCGCATGCACAGAAGTGCTAAACCGTGCTTTGTGCATGCACAGAAGCGCCAATTTGCAACCGGCGCATGCACAGATGCACCGCTGCGGGTTGCGAACATGCATCCCACACGGATCACGTTCACGACCCGAGCATCCACTGTACACCTTTAGTTGCCAGGAAAAAAGTTCCTTTTTAACCAGGCCCTTGGTTGATCTGATTGACATTCTATACCCTTTTAAAATGTGGCTCTTTTGCAGGGCGGTGTTTTTGTTTGGATTTTATATATTGTGATTTTTTCTGTGAACCGCCTGAGACCTCCAGGTTTAGGGTGGTATATAAATTCAATAAATAATAATAATAATAATTAAAAACAAAACACCTGGCTGGCCCATGTGAGAACAGGAGGCTGGACTAGATGGGCCACAGGCCTGATCCATCAGGAGGGTCTTCCTACTGGCAAATTCGGGACAGCTAAAAGAGTATATTTCTGAATGCAGTGTCTGGTTAACCTGCGGAACTCACTTCCACAGGAGACAACGATGGCCACTAACTTAACGGGCTTTAAAAGAGGATTAGGCAAATTTATGGAGGAGGAGAGGGCGGTCTATGGTATTTAAGGAAACGGTATCACCCCCCGCACCCCTCCTTCCCACAGGTGAGAATGTGCGGGAATTCTTTTTCCGGGTTGCAGCGCTGACCTTCGAGGGCAGCGTGATGGCGGAGCTGGAGAGGAGCAGCGCAAGAAGGATTGGCGACGTCGTGCGTAAGTGTGCCCCTCGCCACATGCGTCCAGCTGGCCCCATAGCGGGCGGGAACTTCAAACAGCCCCCAGTTTCCACAGAGGCAGCCCCACTTCTGCCCCAGAACCAGCAAAAGTTCTGCAAGCAGAGCAGATCTCGACCAACTGTTGCAAAAGCCTTGCACTGCCCGTCTTGTTTTCGTTCCCTGCGTTTTAATAGATTGGTTCGTTCTCTTTTTGCATTTTGTCTGCCTTGCTTTAATTTGTCTGAGCTGCCTTAAGCCGCAGTCCAGGGGAAAAGATAGGATACAAATAAATCTAATGATAATTTATTATTGCAAAAATTTACTGTGCTGAAATATGATTTGTAGAGGTCTTCTGCTGTGCTTTTTTTGGTTCACTGAAGTTATTCTCTTTTTAGAGCTGCTGTGCTGTGCTGCTGCTGCTGTTTTTTAATCTTTGAGGGCTCCGTGCTATAAAGCAGTTTCTAAGCTTGTTAAATAATCATGTTTTAATTTTTAGAGTATTTCTTTATATCCTGCTTTTTCCCAAGGCAGCTTACAGAAAGCAAAACTACGCAGACAGGATATAAAAAACTGAAAAGATCTATAAGCTAATCATTAAGATAACAATAGCAATACCTCTCAAGTCCCCTCTCTGGCACGGCCCACCATGTTTCTCCCTGCATCTTCATAAGGACTAGAAACTTGCTTGCTTCATAGAGACTGAGGATTCTTGGGAAGCTTCCCTGTTTTGTGGTATCTCAATAAACACACAGCTCTGCTGATGGATGGTGACAGGCAGAGTTTAGCCAATGAGAATGGGATGGGGGGCGGGCTCCGTGTCGCCAAGCTTACGGCTGCCTCTTCCCCGCGATCCACAGTTCTGCAAGCCAAGCAAATTTGCGTGATTTGCCACAAAGTTTATTTGCACCGCACATCGGCAGGTATTTATTTATTTTTTATTAAATAATTGGTAAAGATGGGTTAGTTTTCAGGGTTTGTTGCAAAGCTTAGAGCTTGTGCATTTGTTTTGTTTTTATCCTGCACATTTTGCCTGTACCTTCACAGGGACTAGAAACTTGTTTTGCTCGTAGAGGCTAAGGTTTTCCAGGATTTTTCGCTCTGCCTCTTTCAGGGATCCACAGCGACGAGCAGGACCTTTACCTGACCGAGAAGCGTCGGAGAGCGAAATGTTGCCAGTGACACAAGTTGGGGGAAGGAATTTCACCAGCCTGAACATTTGCACTGAACTTATTTCTATACCAAAGAAAAGTGTTGCTGTTTTTTAATGATTTTTTTTTTTAAAGAAAAGAACAGATTGCCTCATATATAGGACCATCGCAAGCTGCTTTGTACTAAGTCGAGCCATCGCTCCATCTAGCTCAGTATTGTCTGCACTGGCCGGCAGCAGTGGCTCTCCGGGATTTGAAGCAGAAGACCTCCCCGGCCCCACCTGGGCTTGCTGCCGCGGACTGAGCCTGGGATCGTTTTCCATGCAGAAAGCAGGTGCTCTAACCACTGAGCAGTATGTCATTCCTGCATTGGAATGGGTTAGACTAGATGACTCTTGGAGCTCCCTTCCAACTCTACAATTGATCCTCTTCCCTGGGTGAAGCTGGTCTGTTTTTCTGCCCCCAGAGCTCTCCCACCCCCAAATATTTCTGCCCTCTTGGCTTCTTGTGGGGCAGCCCCGGAAGAGAATAATCAGACGTTTCTACATTCATTTCTACATTCCATGGGTTCCTTCGCCACAACCGTTTCCTGTTGGTGACATCAATTCCTGTGCCAGGACATGTAAGATAGTGCCCTGGTTCTGGTGTCATGGGACATGTCCCACCCCATTGGGCACAAAGACCCCCCTTGTCCCCCCCCAAAAAAAAGCACCTCTGGTCTCCCGGTACGAAACGCATTCGGTCATAATAAAAGTTGAAATGTTGTGCTTTTTGTAACTGTTGCCTTGAATGTGCGTTGATGGGGTTGGCCAGCAGCGGGGTGTCATTTCAGCCTGGGGGGGCACATTACCTTCTGGGGGACTTTCTGGGGGCCAAGGGCAGGCCCTGAGGCAAAGAGTGTTTGGGCCCCAAGGAATGTGATGGAGTCTCACAGCGGCCAAATGCCCCCTAGGAACCTACCAATCAAGATAGACTACCTCTAAACCTGGAGGTTCCTTAGGGATGTCAGCGGAGTCCGCTGGATCAGGCCAGGGGCCCATCTAGCCCAGCATCCTGTTCCCACAGTGGCCAACCAGATGCCTCAAAGGGAAACCAACAAGCGAGATTCGAACCCAAGAGCAGCACTCTCCCCTCCCCTGGTTTCAGAAGAATTGCTGCCTCCGGTAGCCATCAAAAGCCCTCTCCTCCTCCATGAATTTGTCCAATCTTCTTTTGAAGCCATCTAGTTTGGTGGCCATGCCTGCCTCCTGTGGCAGGGAGTTCCACAGTCTAACCCTGTGCTGTGTGAAAGGGCTGAACCACTCCTGAACCTTCCAACGAGAACAGGTGTGACTAACTTAGGTCCAGTGTGTCTTTGGGTAGAACTTGGTTGGGCACAACCCCACCATATTGTCCAATACTTAATTTCATGTTTTGCTGCTAAGAGGGGGAACTGTGGCCCTCCTGGCATCTCTGTGTGGCCCCAGGACCATGCAGGGGGTTGGACTAGATGACCCTTGGTGTCCCTGCGCTACAATTCCATAACACCCTCCTCTCCCCACAACATTCCCCTCTCCTCTCTGCACCTCAGGTCCTCCACCCAAGACCTCAGTGTGTGTTTTTTTAATGCAACGTGGAGCACTTTGTACATCAACGCTATCAAAGTTTAGCCGCGATTACAGTGGGTTGGGATGGATGACCCTTGGGGTCCCTCCGAACTCGGATTCTAAGTTTCACCGATTCAGCGGGTGGTTTATTAACTACACCGGGGCAGAAGAACACGGAGAAGGAACATTTTTTCTGATGGAGTGCCAGATAAGCTGGAAGGCACACAGGCAAGATTCCCAAACTGGTCTGGAGTTATGAGCTTGCAAGATCCCAGAGGGTAATGGCCCGGGAAGCAGGCGGAGTTTGCCACTATTGGGACGCCACGGGCCTCTGCGGGAAGCCATATACCTGTGCACCTTCCTCCCTACTGCGGTCCTTGGTTGGGGTTGAAGGCCTGGAAGGAGTCCAGCTGGTGAGCGTTGAACTGGGGCATCAGTTGGGGGGGCACACAATGCGCCCACTTGTAGTGGTCTTTCAGCCAGAGCCCGCCCTCGCTGTCCTCCACGCAGATGGCGGCGATGCCTGCAGGCAAGGTTGGGGGAAAGGCAGCGATCACCAGCAGTGTCAGAGCCAGGGTAGACTGCTCCTGCAGCTGGAGGCTCCACCAACCTCTATCGCTGCTAGGAATGCCAAGGGGGCCAAGCCCGGCCGTCTGCTCACTGACCCACCTGCCACTAGGCCGCCTTGTTCCTCCACCAGGCGGGTGGCGCTCCGCATCGTCCCCCCGGTCTCGACCCACTGGTCCACCAGCAAGACGCGAAGGCCTGGTCAGAAAGGGGGCAGAGGGCAAGGTGGGGTTAGTGTGCCAAGTTCCACCCCACCCCGCTCCTCACCTGAGAGGTTAAAAAAAATATGTGGATCTGGAGCAATAGCTAGGAAACCTCAGTGCTGGATCAGGCCCAAGGGGGCCCAAGCGTAGGGTTGCCACATGGCAAAAAGAGCAGCTTGGGGAAATTTTGGAAAACCGGCAAAACGTCCGGGATTTTGAGGTTGATTGCCAACAACTTTTGAGTTTCATTTCCCAGAAAAAGCTCCGACACTTTGCGTTTGCTGAAAAAAAATCTTTTGCGTCCGGAGTATTTACTTCTAGAAATACGGCAACCCTGCCCAATGGGAGGCCCACAAGCTGGTCCTGAGCACAATTCTCCAGTGCCTGTATTCACAGGTAGACTGCTGCTAGACATGGAGGTTCTGCAATCACAATAGACCTCCATAAGAAGAATCTGGATGGATCAGTCCGGCCTCCTGTTCTCACAGGGGCCAACCTGCAGTTTCTAGCAACTGGTATCCAGAAGGGTTTCCGCCTCCGACAGGGGAGGAACCTACTTATTAGCCATTTTTAGCATTCACCTCCATTAATTTGTATTTATAAGTGCAGCAGAAGATCCTGCCCACAGGCAGGAACTCAGGGCAACTGCAAAACTCTTCCCTCCTGCACCCGCAAAGGCATTTACTGCCTCTGATGGAGGAGGGCATAGATGGACCCCAGCTCCTGTCAATTCCAGTGGCCAGCAAGCTCAATGGTTAGTGGTGATGGGTACCCAGCCCTGACCCTCTATGTATGTAGACATCAGTTCCTTTGGGGAGGGAGAACTAAACAAGGGGAAATTCTTATTCTTATTATTTCAGGAAGTTTTAAATGTTTGAAGTTGAATTATGTTTTTATATGTACTGGAAGCCGCCCAGAGTGACTGGGGAAACCCAGCCAGATGGGTGGGGATATAAATAATAAAATTATTATTATTATCTCTGCTCACCTGGCGAGATGGCGTCAGCCCGCATCTCCATCACCTTCTCACGAGCCTGGTAGTCCTTGTAGGGCTTCGAGAGAGTTTTCACGCACAGGTGCCCGGCTTTGCGTATGGCCAAAAAGCCCTTCTGGAGGGTGTGGGCGATGGCAGCGCCTGAGGGCGAGTTGAGAAGGGCAAAGGGGTGCCCCCCTGAATCGTGAGTTGCCACGCCATGCCCTCCCTAACCCCCAGCCCCAAATTGATTCATTTTGTTTTCACCAAACTTATCCCCAGGGTTCAACCCTCCTTGGAAAATACTCCAGCATCCTTTGCCATCATATTGAGAATGCAAAATAAAATAATAAAATAATAATACGGTAAATCCTTCCAGTAGCGCCTTAGAGACCAACTAAGTTAGTTATTGGTGCCAATAACTAACTTAGTTGGTCTCTAAGGTGGTACTGGAAGGAATTTTTTTATTTTATTTTATTTATTTTGTTTTGCGGACCAACATGGCTACCTACCTGTAACTGGGAATGCAGAATAGGTTTGCTGGAGAGGGAATGCCCTCTGCATGTGCTCAGAGGCATTTTTAGGAACATAAGAACAACAGGGGAGTCCTGCTGGATCAGGCCAAAGGGGACCCACCTAGTCTGGCAGGCTGTTCTCATAACCAGATGCCCCAAAGGAAACTTGCAAGAAAAATCTGAGCCCAGGAGTCCTCTCTCCTCCTGCGGTTTCCAGCAACTGATTTTCAGAAGCATTACTGCCTTTGACTAAGGAGGCAGAGCGCAGCCATTGCGGCTAGGAGCCATCGATAGCCCTCTCCTCCTCTGTGGCTTTGCCCAATGCACTTTTAAAGCAATCCAGGTCAGTGGCCATCCCTGTGGCAGGGAGTTCCACAGCTGAACTCTCCACTCCATCTCTTATCCCTTGGATCGCTTCTGCGTTGCTCTTTGCTCTCCGGCCAAGCCGAGCCCCCGACTCACCTAGGATGAAGCCCATTGCGTCAATGCCGGCAACCAGGTCGATGGGGTCACCCCGAAAGGTTTGCAGGAGATCTTCCACGCAGTCCTGCAAGGCCTGGCGAGATCAGAGAGGGAGGGAGAGTGACTGGGGGAGCGTCAAGGGCTCACAAATCTTCCCTTCTAATGGGAGCTTCCAGTTGCCATTCTAATTCTGTGTATTCCCAATATCAATGCGTATCATTAATCTCTAGTATTACTATATCCCTAAAGATAAGGTCAGAGTCTTTTTATACGCAACAGCGGCCACAAGAGTACTTGTGGCCAGAAACTGGAAGAGCGAGGAGACTCCCTCAATGTCAGAGTGGCAAATTAAATTCTGCGAATATATTGAACGAGCCAAGATGACAGCGTCAGTTCGAATGCGATCAAAACAAGAATTAAGAAAGGAATGGTGGTGTAAATCTTTGGATAAGTACTTGGATTAAGCTAAGATGCAATGATTCTAGAACAGAGGATTGATTAATGTGATGAATAAATATGAACACAACGACAGAGTTTTAATGTAAGTGAGAAGGACATTGTGCAAGTGGGTGAGGGAAATCACATGGATATTTGGATAAAAGGCGAATGGGGTATAGGGTTAGATGTGGGGAATCCGTACATTTAATATAATATATGTTATGTACAGTGCTGAAATTAATGTGTAATATGAATTTCATAAATAAATAAAGATGGCAGGAAATCTCTACTTTTACGGTACTATTTTGTTGATGTTAATGTGTGTATGTGTCAGGGGTTCAGGGACAGAGGCACAGGCGAGGGAGGAGACGGAGAGCGAGGGGGAGGAATCCCGAGACAGCAAGGAAGAGGATGACAATGAGTTGAGGGATTCCATGAGCCTTTCAAGTGATTCGGAGGATTCCCAGAGGGGGGCGCCTGTGGTCAGGTCGAGGGGAGTCACAGGGGAGACCCGTCAGGAGCAGGGGACCAGCAGGGGAACCCAGAGTGGGAGCTGGGAGTCGGGACCGGCTTCCACGCCAGAGCGCAGTGAAGGGGGTGGAGATTCCACAGTGACAGGAGGAGCAAGTCCGAAAGCAGAGAGGGAGGGGAGATCAGAGCAAGACATCCTCCCGGAAGGGGAGGGGAGTAGTGCAGGGAGTAGTGTAACTGTCAAGAGGAAAGTTAGAGGCTGCGAACGCGCGCCAAGTTCAAATGTGGAGGTGCGCGGAAGTACAGGGAGCCCGGGGGAGGAGCCAGGTCCCAAAGCACGCAGGAGGGGGGAAGAGCTGTCTGGGGATTCCGC